TGAAGCGAATGTTGGATGCTTAATTCTTTCTTGCTAGTTAGCTTGCATGAGTGACTTAGTATATGCGTCCTACACGTTAACATAGCGCAGGATTTGCGTGTAATGAGCATTCGTTAATGAAGCTTCCTAACAACACTAGAGCGATTTATTATAGAGCTTCACGAGGCAAACGCAACGCCTTTTTAGCTCCTTAAATGCTCGACTATAAAACGGCTCATAAAAAACGAACGAACTACGAACTTACGGCATTTGCGTGAATTTCACCAAAACTCTCTATCGATCCTACTTACTATAAAGCGCTTCGTCTGTCGTCTGTCTGTCGTCTGTCTGTCGTCTGTATGTCTGTCACGAAATTCCCTAGCTCCTCGGGATCCGCCTGGAGGGACCGGGTCAAGTGTGGGATGGGTGGGCAAGGTCTCACGAAATACAAAACACACATCAGCTAAGCGGAGCCCCGCCCACAGAGGGCGTGGCGTGCGTCGAAATGAATGTACCGAAGACCAAGATTTCGATTTCAGTGACAAAACGACCTCGAAACTGGGCCAAAAAGTGGGTAAGGTGTGCATTGGTAAGTCACATCGAATTAGGGAGACCCACCGGTGGGCGGGGCGTTCTCTAAAAAAGCAGTGCTTTATGAAAAATTTCATAACTCGGTTGGGAGAAAGCCTACAGAGCAGAAAACAATTTGGTGTAAGGGAGCAGCAATGTCTAAGGTGTTCCTGCATACATGACGTGGGCGGAGGCCCGCCCACAATGGGCGGAGCGCGCTCTGAAGTGTACAGCATTTTCTACAAGTCCTCATAATTCGGGCCGGGAAGTCTTAAAGAGCCGGAAAAAGGTGGATAGAGGTGGGTGGAGGAGTGGAGGCCAGCTGTCATCGGTGGGCGGGGCTTGACCAAAGTGGGCGGAGTTTGCGACGAAAATTCATAACTCGGCTCCAAGAAGTCCCGGAGGCCGGGAAAAAGGGAGTAGAGGTCGGCGAAGGAAAGGAGGTCAACTGCTATTAGTGGGCGGAGCACGCACCTAAGTGGGCGGAGTTTGCCAAAAGTGTCGCAATTCGGTTCCAAGAAGGTCCTAGAGATAGGGGAAAACGGGTTAGAGGTTGGCGAGGGAAAGGAGGTCAACTGCTATTAGTGGGCGGAGTTTGCCAAAAGTGTCGTAATTTGGTTCCAAGAGGTCCCAGAGACCGGTGAAAAAAGGGGTAGAGGTCGGCGAAAGGAAGGGGGCCAAATGCTATGGTGGATATTCGAATTCGAATTCAGATATTCGTGGTGTATCAAGCCAAATTTGAAAATTTTCGTCGCACCATCAAAAAATTCGCCGCAGATCTGTGTTGCGCGCGCAATGCGTGCGGCGCCAACTGGTAAATTATGTGTGACCATTCCAATTCGTACTGCGGTAACCTAGTCCTTTTCGATTTCGTTGCAAGTGATACATGAATGGAATATTTATTACCCTCGATATAGTAGAAGCGAGTAGCAAGTTATGACAGAGTAATGTTGACGTTTCCGCTTGTTTTCATTGTTTGTTCACAGAAAGACAGAACAGTGAGAATTAGTAAACCATGTGGATCATTAACTCCGTAATTAGAACACCCATTGTCAAGCGAGGAGTCCTCGACAGGTGAACAGGAGGGTGGGGGGGTATGTGGTCGCTGGGAGGAAGAGGTCGGGCCGGATCGATGCAGTAGGATCATCACTGTTGGAGGACAAACATCAAGGATCGATCGATGCTGTGCAAGGGCCAAGGATTTCCAATAACAATGTTATTCCGCTCACATAAAATTTTCGTGCTTCGAAGGGGTCCGCATAGTAATTTTTAGCTACTTCAGTCCGATACAATCATGTTTTTTGACGGGTCTTTCATCACTTCCACAATGAGGGGTGTGGAGCGCACGAACGTTCCGATAAACCTGCAAGTTGTAGGGAAGGATCCACTATACCTACACAGCAATGCCTTCTCAGCGAACTCTAAATTCATAAACATGTAATGTTTAAGTTGAGATTATTTAAGCAATTTTAACACTTCTTGGTAAGAGAGAAGCATGAAGATTCCGAATATGCTTCCATTTTTGTATATGAATAGCCCATGATAAAAGTCAATGCTGCAAAAAAAGACTTTCGGCGGTACTCAGGCAAAAGTACTAGAGGTAACCATTTTTTAACTCATAACGGACGGCGTGCGCCACATGGGCACCACTGTTCTTTCTTTGTTTTTAGTTACAATTATAACATCTTAATATACCCGTGTATACTCTCAGCAATGAGGAATAACATATCTTCCCAGGACCTGGGAGTGGATTTTTGACAAACCTACAATTTTAACGTACGCTTTGTCTTAATTTTCACAAGCTTACTATTTGATGGATGGTTCACTCGTCCCGAGACCCCTTCCCCTAAATATAGCCACATCCTTGCTCGGGGTTGTTGTTCCGCATTTTTCCATGATTTCACCTGCAGCTTCCATTCATTCTTTGCACCCTAGTTTTAAAGCGGAAAGGCGGGTTACGAAGTTGTCGTCAACGGAAATCTCTTCTTTTGGATGATGAGACAAGGACACCTACTTTAGCCCCGTCTTAACCCTGCTGTTCGCATAAGCCTACATAAACCCTACCCTGTGTGGGCTTGCGACCATGTGGACTCACACAGCAATTACAACTGGCCGTACACGTTATGGGTAAACTGTATGTATTAGAGGACTTTAGACAGTCTGAATAGAGAGGAAATATAAGTTTACGATCCATATAAACTTTTCAATTAACGGGTTTAAAGGGGGTTAGAGCTTTGGAAAGTGTAAAAACTGATACCTCCATGAATATGCCTCGTTAGTCAATCTGAATTCTTAATTCTTCATTAATTTTCATGAATATACATATCGCTGGAGAGAGCTTGTAAAGAAACCCCCAGATTGCATCGTCATTTGATTTCACTTAATCTCTATGAGTTTGCGTATAAGCCCTGACACCAAAGTTAGCGTAACAGCTTCAATCTATCACGGCTCGCCCATGTTTGGCAGCGGGCTAACTAAATTGTTTATTTTCTTAGTTTCTTTGAACGACTTTTCTGTTTCTTTTTAATTGTTTAAAACTATTGTACGCCCTCCGCTCCAATGCTCGTATATCTTTCTGCTTCGCAATGCTGATGTGCTATGCTCTCTGTTCTCGGATTTCTCTACCGCTCTCCGCGCTCACATTATCTCTCATCTCCCTGCCAGCCTTTTGAACTTTCTGCAACGTAGAAGCAAAAAGCTCGTACTTTCTATGTAATTCGCATCCTTGCTTATTTTCTTCTATTTTTTTTTTTTTCTTTTTTTTTCCTCATGGCGGTCCCCTTCGCACCCTTCTTTCGCCTGCTCGTAGAATTACCTCATCAATTTAGTCCTGCTTACTTTAAAGGCACGCTCCGGGATTAGGCGCGCTCGCCTTTTCCATCCGGGGTAGTAGACAGGCGGACAAGTTGATGTCGCGCCCCTTTTGCCGCTTGAAAGTGCGCGACAAAGGCGCAAGGAGCTCGTCCGACCCGCAACTCACACCTTCGTCCGCAAGCCCCACCTCCGCTGTCGGTTGCCACGTGGCGCTGCTTGAAAAGCGCGGGCGCATTTGAGGCAGCGGTCCCATTGCGACCCAATGTTATTGGCACTGGAGCAACTAGAGTTAGGTTCGTGAAACTCGTCCAACGCGCCTTTCTCTATCCCAAGGTGGAATGCGGCTGAAATAGGGGAGGTCTCTGTGCGGGGCGTAATCGGTGGTTTCGTTTGCTTTCCTTCTCTTTTACAGACCACCTCCCACCTCCAGCTTCATAACTGAACGCTTTTCCACATCTTTATCCCAAATATTGCCTTTGATTATTTCATGTTCTTAGTATTAACGACAATATTAGTAAGCCACTATATGGTTGGCTAGGTATGATGTGCAGATCGCATGCGGCTATACTGTCGGTACATTGTTCCGGAACGATGATATAGCGATCTGCGTCGACATCAAGGTTCCATGAGACAGCCGTAGAGAATGGACGAGAAGCAACCTGTAGGGAAATACGGGCATTGCAATCATGTTATGAGGCACGCTTGATGAAATGAGAAAAGTTTTGTTTTGTTATTGAGAACAACGTCGACGTACGGTACCAGGGTTATGGAGCCTCACAAAGTAATGACCTTAACAACCATTGGTGAGAATTTTATTTGTCTCCTAGCATGACTTCGATTTTATCGTACTAGACCTATCGACCTTGATCAGACCTATCGGCATGGAAAACGGAGGCATGGAAGGAAATAGAAACAAAGGATACGACTTCACCTGTATTGAATATTGCACCCGTTGCACGCAATAGACAACTTACAGGGACTTAGTCGGTCCACTCTAAGGAGATGCGTCTTAAGGGAGTGGGAAGTCGACTAATGAGATTGCAATTTTCGTTGTCACCAGATGAAACTCTGAGAGTCCAGCTGAGCTTTGTAAAGAAATACAGAATCTTAGCGTGTAGGAATTATGGCCATAATTGGCTATAGCTGCAAAAATGCCACCTGATTAGATTGAAGACTCGTATGAGCAGTGATCCCTTTGGCCAGTGAGAGGGTCACGAAATCAAGCTAAGAAATACAAGAAACTCCGAGGGGTGAGCAAGACGGTGACCGCTCTAGGACGCCGCAAAAAATGATGATTCTTGAAAGGCTGGCTCGGCGAAAGAGTCATTTGGCCCCCGCCCCCCTTCTGACGATTGCGTCAGAAGATCAACCGATAATTCGAAATATCACTTCTTTTGCCAACTTTTTTTTGGTTTTTTCAGGCAGCCGCTATATTTTTTGGAAGAAAATTTTGCACCTAAGTCGTTTTCAGGTGAATGCTTCACCACATGTATAAGATGTGATGGCACTTTTGCTCAGTTCTGCATTTTCCTGTTTTTCTCACCGATTTTCCCGCGATTGTATAGAACTACTCATTTTGACAGCTAACTCTCATAAGCTTCCTTTCGGAATTTTGTTCGTTTTACCTTTTCTTTCAGATATGGCTGGTGTTCCCAAACAAGTCGAGCATATCGTCCAGGGTGCAGTTGAATGCGATACTGCATCAATCATTTTTGCCACTTTCGCGGGTCAAATCCTGCTTGCACCGACAATTTTATGATTCTACACCGCTTACTGTGGCATAGCAAGTTTATTCTTCATTTGCCTTTTCTTATCAAAATACCTCTTTTTGCAGACGTATGTTTGGGACAACTATTCGTGTGTGAACACGAACAATCGGAGAGATAAGTCCAGCGCACCACCCATGTCGCCGCCGATTTCCTCTCATGTGACTTGCCCTACTTGTCCTTGATCAATGCGGTACTCAGTTACCTAATCCACGGTATTATGAACTGGTATTCTAACATGCTCTGAAGTTTACTGGCATGGTTTATTTTGTTACACTTTTGAATTGAGACTGTTGGATACTCAAAAATAAATGGAGAAGTTCACTGTAGAGGAATGTAGAGCAAGTTACACAACACAGTCACAAAATTACAATCTAATCACAATCACAAAACACACACCGACACGCACACGATTACATTTTTCCACTTTTCTTGGGGAGGAGGGATAGAACGTATGGATTCTGCCGCTGGGAAGGTCGTATTTCAAAATCTCTTCGACGCCTCACTTGACCCTATACTCGTCTTCCCTACCTAACACCTTTTCTCGAGACATTTCGATGCAGAGATTTCAATGATTGTGCATGGTACAACTGATCGAGTTTTTGAGGTGTGTGCACGTGTGGAGCATTGCGCATGCATTCTTCAAGCAAGGCCATGAGCAGCTGGGTTGAGTTCCTTGGTACGACCGACTTCCTCGGCTTCGTCCACTTCCTTGGCATCGCCGACTTATTTGGTGCCTCCTGGGTCCATATCATATGCAAGTAATGGGCATATACTGCTTCCTCCGCGTTACGCCTCCTAAATAATTGCCCAAGTGCAGCACCTGAAACAGTGAATCTCGACGCTGAACTGCCCCAGTGGTATTTTTCTATAAAAGTGCCCTTCACCAGCAGCGACTCCACTGAATCCATGGCGATATCGGGTTCCAGCTTCATTTTGGCGAAGATGCGGAATCGCCCTCTAGTAACCCAAACGTCCGTTCTACTATTTGGCGGGCACATGAAACGATATCTATTAACCTTGTAGATGAAAAGAATGGATACCTACCGGTTATGATTCTGGTTAAATCTTCGTTTTCTGGCTGTATCCACTTGTTTTCTCCAATACGGTGTAATGTAGCAGCGACCCGCTGATGTGGTGCGCAGGTCTCACCTCCTCCAGTTCTCGCGTGGGCGTGGGGGGAACGCCGTCATTGTTGCCAAAGAAACGTTGAAATAAGTTGATGACATCGCGTGGGCGTGGGGGGGAACGCCGTCATTGTTGCCAAAGAAACGTTGAAATAAGTTGATGACAGAGTGTCAGAGAAATGAGCTGAGTCATTCTGTGTACCAGTTCATCTTCTTTAATGACTGACCGAAAGAAAACTCCAGCATCTCCAGCTCTTCCTAGTGCCCCTACATCGTAGATGAAGATGCGCTTGTGGCAGTCACCACCACAAGCAAGATAATGGAGAATCGATTGAAATAACCACTCCTAGAAGGCGCAGTTTTTCCCTCGAGTGCAAAAATGTCAACAAAAATAATAAACAATAATGGATTGCTTTTTATTAATCTATATCTCTACGTGCAGATGCTTGCCACGTAAGAACCCAACCGCACGTGGGTAGTCACAAGTCTGCGCATCCTGAAGGCTACATGTTACACAAGAAATTCCATGTTCACTCTTCTTGAAACCTGGGCACCTCGATATTGTGTGTATTCACATGCATGTTACAACTTTTCTCTTGTGATCGCCAGAAATGCAGCTCTTGCTCTTCAAGGATAGTTTTGCCTGGGGTCACCTTGTGTGGTGATGTGCTTGAAAGGTTTCCGGGATTGTGCACTGGGTCAGGGTGATTTGCTGAAGTGTTCACAAGCGATTATCCAGAAACGGTAAGTTTTCCGTTCTGACATCTCCCTTAGCCGCTTCCTTTTTTTCCTCGATATCCTGGTCAAGTCGCAACATGCGGTCCGAAAATTCCAGTCTGGCCAATACATCTCGCAGTTTTTCAGCCACATCTTGAGAAGTTGCTCTGAAATTTATTCATGCTATTAATATATTTTCATTTTCGGATTGTGCATGATTACGAAAGGAACCTGTTAGGAATCTTCTTTCTTTGCGAGAAGAATCAATTTGCGACTCAGTTCCTGTGTCGTATATTTTTTGTCTTTGTTATTATTCTTGAATGAATAATGGTATGTCAAATACGAAATGAAGTGAATAAAGTAATAAAGTCATTGTGAATAATCGAATGTGATTCTTGTGACTAAACATGACAGGGAGGTGTGAAGTGACAGCCGGCACGGACCGTTGCCAAAATTATCACAATCATGGAATTGACATCACGTAGCATTGATATTGCAAGACCTTCCAGCTTCTCAGTTTACTTAGGTGATTTGCTTCTACAAACAAGTAAAATACACCTTCATGTCGTGAACTCAAAATTTTGAAATAAACAAGAGGGCACCTACATTGGAATTTAATTAGTAAACTCACTTCTCACATCAGAATCCATACAGAGTTCCGTTATTTGAGAAGCAAAAATAGAGACGAAACATAACCTTCTGAATGAACTGAGCTTGAAAAAGTAGAATCATGAAACGTCGCCTTTCAATTATGTCAGTCAAGCAGAATTGGCTGCAGGATTAGCAGCACGTTGGGGTATTGATCAGGGCAGTTGAATTTCCCGCGATCCTTCGCGCAATTCGCGAGATCGACACAGCCTTTATTAGGCTGCTGTGTGCCAGATTTGCACACGCCATCCTTATAAAAACAAGGTCGGAACTGTGAAAATCAAGGAAATATTGAAATTGATGTAGCTTATTGCGTAGACTTCTCGAGCCGAAGAGGAGGCAATCGGTTATTGGGGCGTTCCGTTGCGAAATGGGCGTTTCTCGACATTTGTGGTTTTTGCAGTTCATCAGCGCACATCAATTCGCCACGGTACACCACCCACACTTAGCTTTAATCGCACATTGCGAGCTTTTTACTCTCGCCTCAGCTGTGCCTCCCGATCGCGCTTAGAACGGCTCAGAACGAATGTAGTACAGAAGTGCTGTTGCTCAAATTATTGCCACGTGCATGGGAAGCGATATGAACTACTACAACAGCTGCTACTCAAAGAAGAGGAGGACATGGTCCACGAATAATGGCAACGTAATCGCTTCGATGTAGCAGGCAAAAATGGACCGTCAGTCGCCTGCTGTAGTTGCGAAAATATTTACAGGATTGTAAGGCATGTAACCTAGCCTAGAGAACAGCACGGTGACCGCATGGGATGGTCTCTCTGTTCAACGAACTGCATCTGTATTTCCTTGAAAACAGTGCATCAGCTGAACTGAATTAGGAGATTGAGAAATTTTGTTGGATATATTGTAGCTGTATCGAATGAAATGGGTTGAAACAACAGAAAGATTAAGAACTCATGTTGATAGGAAAAGGGAAACTTTTGTGGAAAAGTTAGATACGTCTAGACTTAAGACGCGGAATTTTCACCTCTCCGAAATCCTAAAGTATGAGACAGGATGACATTGGTAGGTTCAGGTTACCTTTCCGAGATGCAAAAGTGGACTTGTGCACTCTGTGCAGTACTTGCCACATAGGCAAGTATGAAGCAAACTATCGCGAACAACAAGTGGAATACCGTGCTAACGGCATCGCTTTCGTTGGCCGAACTCCTGGATAGTGCTAGTGTGGGAACTTTTGTAGGCAGATTCACCACTCGGAGCAAGTATTTACGCTCCTCGCATGTGGTTATAGCGGTAAGATGAAGTTGAGCTGTTTGTTGTAACCATACAAGGGAGGCCTATCAGAGTACCTTCAAAACGGTGCTGTGCGTCTTGCGGAGGTTTTGTATGGACTAGCACACTGGAGTTACCACTGCGAAAAGGCAATCTAAAAAAATTTGTTTTGAGTGTGAAGCATAAAACCATAGGCAATTCCACCTATATCTACGCTTCATAATTCACGTATGAGCCCCAGCGACATAAATGGAGGCACCGTGAAAAATCGCTCGAAGCCATGAACAACCACCACTGTTAGTGCTATTATCCTTATGACAACCTCCATCGTGAGTGGTACTGTCCTTTTGAAAAGTACCTATCTGCTGAAGTGGTAGATGCGGGGAGGAGGCCACTGTCGTATTACGTATGTCCACTCACTTGAGAGAGAACCAGCGAAATCTCTACATCCGTTCATGAAAGTCTCCTTAAAACGATAAATGGTATGAGTAATGTAAGGTTCCACTTCCATGAAAGATTTTCAAAAAAGAGAACACATACACATGTACACCTCCATCAGAGCGGTGTTTCCATCGGGAGAAGATATACGAATATTCATAAATGGTGCAAGAAGAAACTACTATTATAAAACGTCTCTATGGTCCGTGCAAAACACGAAGGAGGTTAGAAATGGTCATTACACTTGTTTCCTTGACGAAAAGGTAAACTTCAGGAGGGCTTGAAGGGGAATCCACCCACAGCGTCCAGCGGCCCATCAGATGACCGTGCAGAGCCTAGTCGCAGGGGAGTCGCGAAGATGGAAGTAGTGGTCAAGGAGGACGTGAAAATGGTTGACGAACTGGTGATGAGGGTGAAGATGAGGCACATTCCGAAACAGCAGAGGTTAGTTCAAATATGCTGCTATAGAGACGTTGAAAAACACTACTTGAGGGGTCCGAATACGAACCTGGTCCCAGTGAATCGGAGTTCAGCTGTGACCGAGATGTCGGTGACACCGATTCAGCAATTCTTTATAAATATTACATGGTGAAAGGAGAACTGCTGATGGAGCTATTCCGCCTTTGTCCCGAATGTGGGACTTAGCTCAGGAAGGCGCAGTTGAAACCAGTGAGAACAGCTGCCGTCGTGCTTTGTGTGCCAGAAGTGTACTGTCAGGCCACTAGGGAAGAAGTGGGAAAGCCAAGAAACGGTGTACCGGTGGAGAAGGTGAATCACCCAAAGGAAGGAATGTATAAGGGTAACCTGGTGGCCGCGGTGGCAGCTATCGTGACAGGACTGCGATACGTTGTGAGTCGAAGAAGTCTAAATAGCAATCTCAACCTAGTCTTCCTCCTACCTTCAGCAACTGGCACGATGAGCCAACCAGATGGACTTGGCTTTGTTCTCGGAGGCGTTCTGGGTCAACCGTCAGTTGGACAAAGTGAGTGTTTGGATGTTGAAAACTCGTGTTATCAGGAGAGTGGTTC